CACGTTAAAAGTACGCATGTTTTTCAACACGTTTTTATTCAATTATATATTCAATATATATTCAATTATATATTCAATTATATATTTCAATTATGTAACTTTATCGTTACTCAGAAATCAACGTGTGGTAAATTAATTTTTAAATATATCGATATGTCGTACAAATCGCTTAAATAAATTTTTCACAAGGGAAAATGTAACAGATCCCGGGCGGTTTGCAGTATTGAAACTGCAATAGCAATTTAATCAATTATTGTTGCATGATCCTAACATGAAACTTATATTATTCTACATGTTCTAAAAACATAAAAGTCAACAGTAAATTCAAAACCCTAACCCTAGCAACAACTTATTATTTCAAGAAACATCAACACACGAATAATCAATAACGATAATATCAGAATATTGTGAAAATAATTCAAGTGAGCAGACATTTTTTAGTGGCAAAACGTACTATAAATCCCTCATGTAGCCGTTTAAGTCCAGAAATGGTAAGAGCAACTCTGTCTCAAAAGCTGGTATAATTAAAAGTATCGGTATTAAATTTTAATTTTTTGTTTCATAACGATAACCAATTATGGGAATGATTACATGAAGATCGCATTTATTTAAAAGTATCAGCTCCTGATTACGTATCCTTACAAGGACAAAACTAGCAAGAACAATAAAATTCCCTCCTTCCTCAGACCAAAACGACAGTCCCCAGCTGGGTACATGGACCAGACCGGACTTTTAACCTATTGATTATTGAAATTTTACTCTTAATAAAAAGGTTTAATAAAAGGTTTAATAAAAGGTTTAATAAAAAAGGTTTAATAAAAAGGTTTTTATCGAATTCTATTTCACGTTATATTCTATATTAGCTTTTTCAATTAAAAAAAAAGAATAAATGGAACAATCAAACTTTTCTTGCATAATATAAATAAAAGCAATTTGAGTCTGCAGTTACTCTTTCTAACCTAAAGTTCCCAGATCCGTCATTATTCCGATACCGTATAAGCAATTTGTGACAAATAAGTGTTTACATATAAATATGTGATACTTAATATAATAAAATACATGTGATAAATCAAGCATTACTAAAAAAGGGCAATGTCACAGGTTGCTTTATACACAACAAAATATGGTAAGTCGGACAAAAATCGTGATTGTTATAAAGATCCAGAATTTCGTTACAAGCCCCGGACCAAAAATACTGGTAATTTTCTGGATAAGTACTGTTTTGATTTTGAGAAATACCTACCAATGATACACAAAAATCAGAATGTATATAGAGGGAATTTCTGGTCAAGTTGATTATAGTTCAATTCAATATATATATATATATTGTCCGTCAACAAAGACAACTTGATAAACCCAAATGGTCAGGACTATTATTAAAAAAATCTTATTATTAGTAAATAGGGCAGATTTACCTGAAACATCTTATTGGGACAACTGAAAACCTTATTTTATTGAATTTAATGTATATTTTATATTACATCTCTTATCTTTTATATTGCTATCTATCCTATGGTGCATAACATCTAAAGTCATCAAACGTTTGTGTTTTATAAAATGTATAAACTTCTTTACAAAGAAGTAAATACAAAATTTAATCCGTGAATATGCTCAGAAAGGGCCTATTCTATCATATTCACGGATTAAAATTTGTATTTACTTCTTTGTAAAGAAGTTTATACATTTTATAAAACACAAACGTTTGATGACTTTAGATGTTATGCACCATATAAACAATGTTACAGAAATAATCGTATGATCAATCACACGAATAATTCCTGCTGATACGTAACATATATGCTACGCGCACTAATGAAATACGTGTCTGTCTAGGGGATAAAGTTTTAGACATTCCCAATGAGGTTTTTGTTCTTCCATTTAAATGACTGGACAGGAAAAAAAATCAAAAAATGCAGAATAATACTGAAGAAATTCAATAAGCGCACTTGTTATTAAACTATTATGTAATCAATAAGGGATAGGCAAGTTCACTGTTTAGTTTGTGTATTAGTATAGCATGGAAATCCATCATTGAATGTTAAATGAAAGAACTTGGTGATAAAAATTATATTTTCATGAAATGAAGAACGTGTAACGGAAGGCCTAAACTTCAGGCAAGTTTCAGGAAATACCTGAAAATGGAAAGCGTAAGGATCACCCTAAAGTGACAATTTACAATTAATTTTCATGTTGATGCAAGTATTAAGTAAGCACTCTACTGCATAGTTAATTCTTAGATGATAATGAATGTAATAAAATACAACAATTTATTATCAGGGATAAAGACACGCGGTTTCCGATAATTTCCCGCAGATTCTAAAGAATGTACGTGTGTTTGTTTTAGATCATCTCTATAGTTTTGTGTACCATTCGGATATTATCGTTATTTACTTCGTGTAATACTAGCGTTAGATTTTAATTATTTTTCATTGATTTTAATCTAGTCATCCTGCTCTTCTCAAATCTAAAACTGTATATCTCTTTTGATATACATGTATTATGCTGCATAACATCAATAAATTGTATTTTATAAATTTAATAAGGGTTGTACAAATTCAATAAGGATTGTTAGATATATTACGTAATATTCTAGGTGTCTTATGCACATATAACATATATGAGTCACATGTTTCAAATATCTTACCTGGGAGGAGGGGGTGGACTATATACGTACTACGTAATATATGTCACTTCTTAACTAAGACGTGAATAGAAAATTTAATCCATGAATAGGCTTTTAGATTTTACCGTTAATTATTACATGTAGTTAGGAAGTTTCGACGTTATGCTCAATAAAATAATCACTTGTAATCATTTGTAATCAGAGATAAAAATATCCTTTGGAACTCAAAAAGAGATATACCTAGCTGCTTTAAAAATATATGTGTCTTGAACCCTGAGAAAACAACATAAATAGGAAACTTAACCATGCGAAAACAGCGATAGAACTAATTATAAATTATGCTGATTGGAATTATCTGAGAATTCTGCGCAGATTTCAATTATTTTAGGCAACATGAAGCGTATTCATTTACTAACCAGATTGGCTAATCGATTTAATTTCAAAAGTTAGGTCACGCAAATCTTGACACTAATACGTTAGTATTTCGCGATTATTGGGTATCACGAATCGGCCATTGTTAGTTAACATTAGTTCCTAAATTATCGTTATAACTAGAATTTATAAGCTGGTGTAAACATATTGATATAGTACACATAAATTGTCGCTCCCACTGTTTATTAAGTGTGTTACATATCGATATACGTACTGTATTATTCAAAGTACATTACTCTTGTCGACACTGTTCGTTAAATGGACTAATATTCCACGCAATATGTAGCACGTGACGGTGCACGGCTCATTTGTGTTTTGCGTGTATGTGTGAAAATAGTTCTCATTCAAATTAAAGTCGAAGTTCTAGACAGATCCAATTATTATTATAAATTTATTTTTCATTTGTTAAATTTGTTTATATTTGTGTCATTCGCCCATGCCCATTTTGCATGATTGAACCTTAATATTTTTAATTAATATATTCGTTATTCGTGACTCATTTTGTCCCTCGTTAATTTAATGTCACCGATCGATACAATTAACAAGCCTAATCGATCGCAAATACAACAGGATATACATGTCTATAGTGAGAATAACGTGACACAATGCAAAAAAAAACGTCCGGAGCGTCTATAAATTGCAAACTTTTTGGAGTTTCTCCATTCTTTTGAAAAATCTAATAACGAGACCAAAATGGTGCTTAGCTATCCGACGTCACAAAATGCAGATGCCCTTATTGCACTTTTAGATATGAAAAAAATTTTTCCCTTAGAAAAACCTGAGCCTCAAGAACTGTTGTCTCCTCCAAATATAACAGAAAACGGAGAAACGAAACCAAGAAGACCTATAAACGCATTCTTTATATTTCGACAAAATGTTATACCCGAAGCTAAAAGGGTAGGCGTAACAAATATGCAACTTATCAGCAAAGTGGCAAGCATTCTATGGAAAAAAGCGCCGGAAAGCGATAAGCAAAATTACAGAAACCTGGCAGCAGAAGTTTCTGTCTTACATCGACGAAAATACCCAAGCTTCCGTTACGCTCAAGTTCGTTCAAGTTTCTCCTTCAGACGACAAGGATTTTCTCGACCATTTTCTCAACCACCAAACACTAATAATACACCATCTTCCCAAACATCAAATCCTCTTTCTTCTCCTAATTTTAACGAGAACGCCTTTTCAAATACTCATTTCGCTCCCATTACAATAAATCAATCCAGCTACAGTAGTTTCATAGATCAGTCTTTAGGAAACGTAAATGTCAACTTAAACTTACGCGATACAACGTTCCTAGGAATTCCTTTGGATGTCGTAGGATTGGACGTGTATCCATTATTTTTTAATGGCAATCAATATTGACAGGCCTAGAATAATCGTTTCTTCTTTATGCTTTTTTTAATTAAGTCTTTAAGTTTTCTGCATTCAAAGTTAAGTTGTAAATAAAACCACTTCCATACATGTACGTAACTTGTAATTAATAATCATGATGATACATATAAGCTTTAAAATAAATCATAATTAATAATCATAATCATAATACAGCATATCGGTACATATCGATACGTACATCGATATGTTTAAAATAAATCTTGTTTGTTTTTGTCGACTCTGATGTGATGATCTACGCAAAGTTTTGAAAATCGAATTAACGTTAACGCTAAAGTTCAGCAACACCTTGTCAAATAATTGTTTTTGCCTTCTTAGATAGCAGAACAAAATTTCAATAGTGATAAAGCATAGTTTGAATATTTGCGTTATCTTATTAGATCAATATAATATTTAGATAAAATTAATATAAAAGGGGAATACTACACTTAAATTTTTTCTCAAATTAGAAATTAAAAAAATCAAATCAAAAGTTGCCAAGATGCGGAAATCAACAGGTTTAAGTTAATGTAACCGTGTACCTGCATGGTTTTTGAAATAACCCGATCGCTATATTTATTATTATCCGTTATCTGCCAAGAAAAATGAAAATACTTGTAGACCCATACAGTTATTTTTGCCAAGATAAATAAAAATAGACCGATATAATTATTGTTGCCAAGAAAAATTGAACCTATTGAAAAATTATGTTAAGATATAGTGAGGTAAAGAGATGCATTCGAAACTCATCATAACAATGACAAACAAAAACACGATAAAATTTTTTGATACATGTATAATGATTTTTATGAAATCCTCGACATATTTCCTTATTAATTATTTGCCGACCTATCATTACGTATATCGAATTTTGTCTGCATACATACTTTTGCATTTCGCGAAATACACATGGTTCATATCTCCATTTTCTGCATCAAAATAAAGGACAAATCAACAATTTTAATTTACGCGCATTTCTGTGGTCTTTATTTGCATAAAATAATTTTTCGTTCACTCTATGAACTTTACCTTGATCTGTGAATCGAAAACGGAATAACCAATGTATCACAAAATTGCCATTATTGAACTTATTGAACTTATGTTCATGGGAACTGTAATCTGCTTATTGTTGCATTATGAAATTGCTGATTTACTTTACATATTTTTGTTCTGTACAAGTACATGTATGACAAATAGGGATAGGCAGGGCGTTAAGTGCATTTATATCAATTGTCACCAAATTAAGTTGAATTTTTCATTTTTGCTTACTTCGTAAACCAGATCACAAATGGACATAATTCCAACACTATGAAAAGAGAAGACGAATGCAACTAATTAAATTTATCAATAAAAACCAATTTTTCCGAATAAATTAGAAATTGTATTGACACTTAAAATTTCACATGCTTTATTAATAAATTCTCTATAAAAAGAATTGCGAAAATGTGAACTGCTATTTAAAATTCAATTATTAAGGTTTTATAAAATAGAGCTATGGCGTTGTAATGCATGACCCCAGAATGAGGGCTGAAAATATAACCTTAAAACTTTAGGTTCCGTTACTCTAACCTATACTCTTAGTAAATGATAACCATGGTGCTATAACACATATGCGATAAAATGTAGAATTAAAATACGTACATGTATTATAAATTCGCTATGGTGCATAGCATCTAAACTCGCAAATTCGATATGTAGACTTCTAAACTAGGAAGTAACGATAATACAAAATTTAATTCAGGAAGTTTTTGAAGGTGTAGAACAATATACGTATCGATATTGTTCTACAAACCCTATGTTGGTTTACACTTTTAATTAGTAAAATTATTGTTTTACACTTTTAATTGGTAAAATTAGTGTAAAACAATACTACAACAAGTATAAAACAACACATTGATTAAGTTTACCAATTAAAAATGTAAAACAATAATTCTACGAATTAAAAGTGTAAACCAACATAGGGTTTGTAGAACAACACACTTAATATCGATACGTATGTTATCCTACACTTTCAAAAAACTTCCTTATGATAGGTCTTTCTTGATCATACCAATACGTATTGACTGAGTAAATTTTGTAATTACTTCCTAGTTAAGAAGTTTATTGAATTTATAACATACAATCTATACATGCTATGCAACATAGGATTTTGAATTAAAAATCACTCAAAACATTTCAGAATTCAGGTTTAAAAGATTTTATCGCGGTTTGCAAAAAGGTGTAGTCAAATATCAATATATACATCAAATTATTAGATAAATTTGTAAAATAAAAAATAAATACGTACTACATTTTCATGTTCTCGTTTTTATTTCGTGTCATTTCTGTAAAGCTAACTTAAAGAACATGTTTTTGTTAACATGAAATTAAAACGAACGGCGTATTTATCTTTTATCTCATGAATCTATCTAATAGTTCGGTGTATATATCGATATTGGATATATGATTGATTTCTAAATTCTCAGATTTCCCATACTACCTGTAATTCGAGATCACTTGACTTTTTGAAATGACCAGTTATGTCACTCGACCTCTTAAAATGACCAGTCATTGGTCATTTGTTATCGGAGTCATTTGGGTTATTTAAAGTCATTTACCATCACTGGGTAAGATTTATAATTGGTAAACTTTAAGTAAACCGATGTAATTTGAACAATTACTCTAAACTTAAAGTAAATGCGTTAGTTTATCACCTAATAGAATTGGAAACCTTAAATGAACACGTTAGTTACGTAATCACACGTATTAAAAATCATCCCCTTTTACCTGTGATCGCTATCAATGATAATTAAATTTTGCAACTTTAAATGCAAATATAAAGTTAACAAGAAAAACTGGTAATTTGATTCTTCAGGATAGTTTAATATAAAATATCAAAAAAAAATGAAGATTATTATGTCCATATCAAGTAATTAGGATCGAAATCAATTATTAAAAAAACAGCGTTAGAAAAAAATGCGTGGAGGATTTTCAATAATATTAAAAATCGAGTTACTTTGGGCAAACTACACGATAATACATGCCGTGTATCTCTGTCCCGTAAAATCGGACGAAGCGAATTACCAATCTTATCGCTATATCTTCACAGAACTGCGATTTATGTTAACGTGCATAAGAATTTCACATGGAAAATGACATACGTATTACGCCTATAACATGTCTTTTATTAAAAAGTTATAAAAGGCTTACAAACACAAACTGACGTGAATAGCGATAACGACTTACACGCATATAAATCATCGTTTTTTAAATAAAACACTGCCGTAATCACTAACACTAAATAAAATAAACTCATAAAATTTCGAATATTCATAATTGTAGTAAATGTTACAATTTTCAAAAAAAATGAGTACTGCTGTATATGGTCAGTTCACAATACTCATGATTGTAGTAAATGCACCGATTGTCAAAAAAATGAAAACTTCTGTCCATGTAATGAATATTACAGACGAATTTACAAACCAGTAAATTTGACAACTCAAAAACAGGATTAGAAGCTAATATTTAAACTTCATTTTTATTTATTATTTGTTTACAAGGTTTACTAATATTACTACTTTGTATGATATACCCATTTGCAGCAATAACTGGCAATTCGATCGGGCATACTATAAATAAGCTTTCGATAGTATTCTGGTGCAAGATCATTCCAAGCCACTTTCACGTATTGTTCGAGACTAGACGGTGCAGAGGATCATTGGCGAACAGCGTCTTTCACTTTGTGTCATAAATTTCTTATGGGGTTCAAATCGGGACTTTGTGGAAGCCAAAATAACATCTTGATTCCAGATGCTTTGCGAATGGCTGTTGCAACCTTTGACCTATGTGGTGTTGCATTATCCTCCTGAAAAATACCATCACTACATGGGAAAAACTTGCGTATGGTAGGATCCTTTTTCTATTTGAATATCTAAAACTCAAAAATAGTTACCACAAAATGCAAAAATAATTCTGGCTAGATCTTTTTGATCACCCACTGTAAAATGAACACTTTTTAAAGTGCAAGTACATTGCTTTTTGTTTTTCAGTATAATTAACTTTTTTAAAATTAGATT